CAGTCTTTTTCTCTGTTGTCTGTTCTTCCTGTGATTTTTTCTAACTTCTTTTGTGTGCCCAACTGAGCACCCTTAAGTAGTGCCAAACAGTCGGTGGTCCCTCGTTTGGAGTGCCAACTGCACTCTAGGGGGGCTGCTCGGTTCAGGGTGTCTGTGTTGCCTGTCAGTGATGACGGATGTTCGGCGGAGTGACTCCCTGGCTCATTGGGTGGTGGGAATCAACAGTCTGCGGTGTTCACCCGTGATGTGAGTAGGTCATGTGCTGCTTTGCTCCGTGTTGGATATGTGGGCTGCCTTGTGCTGTCTGCGCGCCACCGTTGCCTTGCTGCCTATCCCGCTTGGGTCACGTGCTGTTTGTTGTGTGCTGTTGCGTTCGCTGTGCAGTCTGGTTGCGGTAGTCGTGTTGCCTTGTGCTTCGCCGCGCTGCTTCCAAGCTGTCCATTCATGTGTCGTGCCTTTTGAGTTCCTTGCTTGTGTGTCGTGTAGTGTGGTGGTCGTGTGGTTGTTGCCGTGTGCTTCATTGCACGGGGGCTGTGCTGTGCCTCCACTTGCGGTGTTGTTCCTTGCAGCCGTCTGTGTCGTTCTGCAGTTGAGTGACTTCTGGTGCGTTGCCTGGTGCTTCACAGGGTTGTTTTCTTGCTGCCGTCCGCCGTTTGACGTGTTGTTCCTTGCAGTCGTCTTTGGTGTTGTGCGGTTGAGTGGCTTCGGGTGTGTTGCCTGGTGCTTCACACGGGTGCCGCTCGCTGCTATGTTCCGCTTGTGGGCAATCTGCCTTCAACAAGGGTCAAAGGGTTCATGACCCAAAACATCCAAAACCGGTACTCCGCAGATTGTCGAGGGTTCAGCCTCCTGATGAGTCGGTGCAATTCCGACGAAACAATCTTGTTATCATCAGTTTCTATTTTTTTCGGTCCTTCAATTTTTTTGGGACTTGTTTTTTTCGGTTTGCCTGTTTCCGTCGGTGCTACTTCTTTCTCAGCTCATTGTCTTTGCCTCGTCCTATTGTGTTTTTGTGCCCGCCCGCCGCCCCCGTGCCCTCCAGCCTATGTGTTTTGTTGTTGCGTGTCGTTTATGTGCCTTGTACGTCTTCTCAGTGTGCATTTCCTGATGTTTGTTCTTCCCTGCCTCCTCACCATGTGCTAGTCTGTTTGGCTTCAACAATAGGGCATTCAGCTTCTCTTTGTTTGCTTGTTTTGGTCATGCCATATGGAGTGGACGATTTATTTCCTGGTGTGTTGCTTGATGTGCTGTTTCTGTGCAGCACGCTAAATCTGTTCACGTGGGGGTTTCGTATCAAATTACACACACACACACACACACACACACACACACATACACACACACACACACACACACTCATCCTTGTACTCTGCACAGATCCACAGGAGGCGGTTGATGAGCTCTTTGACGTAGTGTCTATTATGGCAGGTAGTGGGTTCGACGAAAGGATATGCTGGGCGGTGGTAAAGAAGGTGTTAGCTCACCCAGACAGGTACCAACCCAGCAGAGTCCCTAATAACAGAGTGAGGGAAGCACTACGGATAAGATTTGGCGTTAACTAACCGTTGAGTGGCTGTGTCTGTGTGGCGTGCATATGTGTGTGTGGCGTCCGAGGGGGTATGCCGGCTGCAAAGCCAGCTGCCCCCCCGGGCATCTTCCCTTGCGGCCAGGAGGAACCCCTCGGAGGGCAAGGGGTGGGGCACACACACACACACACAAACACACACACGCACACACACACACACACACACACACACACACACACTCGCTCACAGGGATTGAAGGCGAGCAACTGAAGGTCGAAGGGACAGAGCTTGAAACCAGGAAGGATGAGGACAGCATCAACAGAACAACGACAACTCCTCACAACCTCCGTAGATCAACGAGCGCGCACTTTACCCGATGGAGATATTGCTACCCAAGGATCGATCCCTAGACCCTCCGCCTGTATCTTTACTTTACCGTGTGTCCCTGGCCCATACCACTTGTTCTATATCGAACCTTTGACGCTTTCCCTCGCTTGTCGTTTCCCTTTTCTTTTTTTCCCCTTTTTTCCCCCCTTTTTTCTTCTCTTTTTCTTTTTCGTTTTTTTCCCATCTTTTGTCTCTTTTCTTTTTTTCTTCTTCTTTGCCTTTTTCTTTTCTTCTCTCGTTCTTTTTTCTTTCTTCTTTTTCTTTCCTTTTCTTCCCTGCTTTCTGTCCCTTTGGTTTCTTCTTTTCGACGTTTCTTTGACTCCATTCCCCCTCCTGTCATTTGAAAACCTTCTTCCGAAGTTGGCGCCCAACCACGACGCCTGCAACCCTGCCGAGTCGATTTTACAAAAACGTCCTTGGTCCATTTTGTCGGCAAGATGCAGGAGGACCCGATCAGACCCGGCATTACCCTGCTCGGCCGAAGCAAACTATACGGATTCGACAGAATAAGCAGGCCGGCACTTGTATCCGGTTCAAGAAAAAACGCGGGGCATTTTTAAGGGCTGTCTGTTGAGTCCAGGTAGTAAGCAGGTGTGGTATTTAGGAGCTAGCGTAGTGAGACCAAGCATCACAATCGAAGCAGGAGCAGCTATCTACCGGCATTCTCGGAGGACTTTGCGCTGCACTCTTCAGCAAGCGGACGATCAGCAAAGGGTCTCAGCGGCCAGAATGGACTTTCCTTTGGACTTGGACACACTAGCGGCCCGGAGGGAAGTACACGACCAGGAGACGGTATTCATCTACCCGCAGTAACTCGACCCTGCGCCATGGAGTGCCCAGCGCCGCTTAGCATCTCAAACGGAGAACACCTGGCAGCAGTTCACGCGCCGCATCAGTCTCTCGCAACCTCCCCTTGCCCACTTGCGCCTGCCCTCATTCTCAGCCTCTGTGCTCTCTCGGCAGTCTTCGCACTCGTAATTTTCCCCAGTCTCCTTGTCTTACGCATCCTCTTCAAGTGGTGGCAGTCGGAGCAAGCGCTCCTTGCACCCGCTGGCTATCTCAAAGCATACCTCTCCACGTTAGTCAGCGTCACCTGCGTGACCATTGCAACTTCAGCCCTCTATCTCGTCTTGCTCGGATTCATAGCCGGCGTAATTACAGCAGCCACGGCGTAAGGAGGAAGCTCGACCCATGGAGGACAAGCAGGAGAACGGCGCAGCAGCAAGCGCGGACACCATTTGCATTTTGACAGCATTAACCGCTTTCATGGCCTTCCTTGCCTTTATGCTCTTCATAGCCACGCTTCCCCAACCATCGCAGCAGCAGTGTCATTGCTTTAGCCAATCCGCAGCCATGCAAGCACCGCTATCCCACGCAAGCTTCCCTATCCGCACCACCGGCTTCCACGAACCAACCACCCTCCCCACCACCTCACGCTCAGGCTTCACCCTCACCTTCATTAACTACCGCCGCCCCTACGAAACACGATGCCTCCCTCCCGACACGCACTCGCCCCCCTCCCATGCACAAATGTTCTGCATCTTTCAATTACGAAAGATGCCCCTCTGATGAAGCTGCTGGTGGCGCAGCAGAAAGGCCTCAGGGATAAGCCACCCCCTCCCGCGAGTCAGCCAGCGGACGCGGCGTGCAGATGCGTCCCTTCCTGTCCAGCAAAAGGCTTGATGCGGGTTCCACTCCGTCTTACACATACCTCTCCTGAACACCTCACTTCCATAGCTCCCTGCTTCAGTTCTTGCTGTCCTTTTTGAGTGCAATGCATCGACAATTTTCTGTAAGAGAATTTCCAATCCGGTGGGTTTGAGCTTTCTAGCAATCTAAAGTTTTCTCCTGCTTTGATGATTTTTTTCTCGTTCGTCTCCTCCTTTCCTCTGTCCCCCTTCCTCTCACTCCCCCCTTCTTTCTTGTTCTATGATCTCACGCAATGCATCTCTTGCACGTATTGTTACATGAATGATTGTCAACGCATTTCGTTTGTGCTTCACTATTGTATTCTTGTATGTACGATCATCCGATTGACCATCTCATTTCTTGGTATGCGTAATTAATCGAGAATCCGTCCGTCGCTCGTAAAATCCTGAATGGTTCGATAGCAGCTTAGAAATTAGAATGTGTGATTGCGTGCTTTTGAGAGATAAATCCCACCCTTATTAATGAAAAAGCACACCCGACATCGTCGAGTGACAGCATTGAAGTTTTCCCCGCTGTTTTTTTTTTTTTTCTTTCCTTTTTTTCGTTTTTCCTTTTCGTTTTTTTCTTTTCTCTTCCCCTCCTTTTTTCCTTTTTTCCTTTTTTTCTCTTCTTAATGGAATATTAAGTGCAAGTCAGCGCAGTATATACCACCCCTACGATGCCTATAGATTCATCACAAACATGCTCTCTCTCTCTTTTTCGTACTTCTCTCCCACCATTGATGGCAGCACTCATGGCGTTTAGGAGGGATAGATCGAAGTATGCTAGTATGATTCCTTTCAAAGCTCTCTCCAAACCTTGTCGTTGCGTCTTTTTCTGATCAACTTCCCCGGCTTCAAGCATGCACCAAACTGGAGATCATGGCACTCCCTGACGGGTCACACCACCTGAAGCACTCAGCTAACTCTGAGCACGGACGGTGTGCACGTCAGCCTGCCTGATCCGCTGACCACCCTAGGCAGCGAAAAACCAGTCT